GCTGCCTTAAAGTGACGGCACATTTGGTATGCGCCACACAGAGAGAAAGGCCCTTTTCAGTTTGTACACGACCCAATGGACAAAATCAGTTCGCAAACCTTTGTTTGGAGTGAGTGAGTGATTGACTGACTGTGTGAGTGACTGAGTGAGTGAGTTAAGATTTAAAGTCACATCGGCAATAATTCAGTCATATCGTGACTGAAAACAAGTTATAGTTTCATAATTAATACAGGTAAATTATAAAACTCTGTCAACGAACGACAGTAAAATAACTAGTTTATCACAGATTTCATAAAAAACTAGTAATTAACTATAAAACATTTTAACTATAGATGACAATACAATATAAAAACAGGCTATAGATTGCCAACGGCTGACGGTTGATCACCATACTAGGGACCCCTTTGTTTAGAGGTGCCACTGGGCATAAAAGTGAATTAACATCCATGTATGACAATGTTCATGAAGGGGAAGATGTTCGAGACATTTTGAACAACATGCGATTACAAGGACGCAGGAAGAAGTACACATGTTCTGCAACGAATACTAATGCTCATGTATATTTTTGTCAGTTTGGCATTTTCCCAGATCTTCACAGAGCGTGCAGTTGTAAACGATATAGCCTTATTGTGTTTATATGGAACAACTCTTCCATTTATTTTAAATACTCACGTATTAACAGTTTCGAAACTAATATCTTCATATATCCATCCCTAGTGGGGCGGTGGGGTAGCCTAGTGGTTAAAGCGTTCGCTCGTCACGCCGAAGACCCGGGTTCGATTCCCAACACGGGTACAATGTGTGAAGCCCTATTTCTGGTGTACCCCGCCGTGATATTGCTAAAAAGCGGCGTAAAACCATACTCACTCACTCACTCCATCCTTAGTGTTTTGGTACAGAACTATCCATTTTTAATTCAACATATATTTACATAGCACTGCTACGAATAAGAACAATGATGGGACATAAAGGCAAATATAAAGCTTGATAACATTGTCAGCTAGTATCCAATCACAAGCATTTCCTCTCATCCAATTCTTTTGTCAAATGCAAATAGAAGTTTATTTTTAAACAGACAACAGTACATAACTGACGATACAACTTTGTCCAAATGTTTTATTCAAACATGCATTCTGTTCCCTTAAAAGATCATAGCTTGCACTTAGTGTATATTACTGGACATAGTTATATATTGAGAACATACAATACTGTACTGTCAATGCCAAAGGACTACAACCACAAATATGTGTCGACCAACACATTTTACCATTGCTATGAGTGATGTAGCCTGTACAAACAATATTAGCAATATCAGAATTGTCTTCCTATATCCTGATCAATGTTTCCCACCAATTAAAGAAGTTCCAAAACATATTCCACTCTTTTCTTAAAAAATAAGGTTATATGTTATTAAGACTTTTAAAAGTACCCAAATCTCACCATAAACACAACATATCAGCTTCACGTCGATCGTTTTCAAAAGGCTTCAAAATCGATTGAATGCAGCCTGCATTTCCTCGTGCTTGAGACATGATAGGTCTTAAACTGAGCCCTCTTGGGTTTCCTAGTTAATGTTGATTCCCAACTGCAGATTGACTTTCATTGTGCTGTAATTAAAATTCACAAATGAATACAAATTCTGTACAAAGGTATCACAATGGGAGTACAAAACCGATTTACTATTCGAATACGGTGTCAGTAGTGAGTGAGTGAATGAGGTAGAATTTAACGTCACCTCGGCAATATTTCAGCCATATAGTGACGAGAAATGTTTTACATAAACAATAAATTAAAGTTGCTAAATAATCAGTCATCGAAGGACTGTAAAATAACTAGAATATCACAGATGGAGTCTACAACTAGCATGAACATGTACAACTATTTTATTTACGAAGACAATATAATATAAAAACGGGCTGTAGGTCGCCAACAACTGACGGTGTCAGTATAATGCAAGAACATTCATTATAGCAATAAAGATGATAATATTCACCTTTCAGAAACAGAACATGGCAACTACATGGCAACTAGGTATGGAACAGTATCCTGATCAATAACCAAATACCAAAATATGTAATGTGAGATGAGAGGCAATAACTTGTTCCCTTTATATACGTAAGAACAAGCCGAGACAATTCCACACCATCTTGAAGGCAGGCGATTCTAGAATATGCTTTCCAGATCATTCTACACTGTTCTCAGCGCCACTGGTGATGCCCTAAGGCACACAAGCTCACTGACTCTAGGCGTACAATGTTTAACAGGTGTAACATTGTTCCACAACTAAATATAGTAAATATTTTGAAGCGTGTTTTCATTGTAATAATTCTAACGTCCCAAACATTTTTGTACGTGTTGCCAAAAACCCCAAAGATATCGTACCTAGTTGCGACATTGCCAGCACAATGCAAGTCACAATCAAAACCAGACGTGTACTCTTTTTAGTGCGTCAGTTTATGAACCAAGCAACTATAATGAGAGACATGTAGCTGAACATTCTTCCGCATCAAATTATCTATTGATATTTCGGATATCTAAAGAACAATACGATATAAGAATAGAAAATAATAAACTTTGAATAATATAATCAAGGGCGGGTGAAGAACAATGACAACGGATCCGTGGGTTAGCGTAGTTCTTTTGAAATACAGACTTGGAGGCATAGTAGATGATAGAAACTGTACTATTGATTTTCGGTTCTGAATATACCCGGTCTTCTCTCTTAACTGGATAATAAACAGATTCTAGCGTGTTTGGAAAGTAACAATTTAGTTGGACATAAACATGGTTGGGAGACTTTGATTTTTTCACACTATTTGATTCATATGCAGAGACAATTCAGCATTGAGGCGACTGAGTGGAGGAATAGCTCCTGAGGAAACGGTCTCTAGCAAACGTGCATGTAACTCAATCTAAAACACTTTATTAATATTTTAGGGAAAATGGCGTTTGAATTTAAAAGCATCCCAGAGATTGGTACATCAACCACACCCACTAAATGTGCTATCACGTTTCAAGACGAAATTGTATCTTACGTTTTACAAGACAATGGTGGTGGGGATAATTGCTTCTGTAAGCACTGAACTGTAATTGTCTTTTATGATTAAAGTTGAAACGTTCTTTACGTAGACAAACTATGAATATCTCATTTCGTAACATATGTTATATTTGGCATTACACTTTCTCAGCTATAAAGTACCAATTCTAGTACTTTTGTTAGGTTGAGTCCCATTCGGGATTCGAAGCCACACTCTGAGAGTCAGGCACCTAATCGCCAGCACACAAAGTCAGCCATCTACCCTACTCAGGGTCTCCAAAACAGGACCTAATCCAAATATGTATGCATAAATCCCGGAAGACACACATGCTTGTTGTAAATGAAATAATTCTTAGTCACCTCTGTTTGATTGTGATATTAATGTTCGCCAAGGATGGCTCGTGAGTCCTACTCTATTCTCCCTGTTTATAAATGATTAGCGAAAAGAAAAGTGGGTTCACATGAAATTGGAATTAAGCTTCATCCAGACCTTACCCCCGATTCTTTTGCTGTTATTTGCAGATGCGATAACTATAATTTCGGATATTGTGTAATTTCCAGAACCGATTTGACATTCTTGTGCAATATTGTTGTAAGTACAAGTTGACTGTAGATGACACCGTGGTGCACGTTTGTATGGCGCCTCATTTCACAAATATTTAGAGTTACACAAATATTTTCAAAACCCCTCATGGTCACGACGTACCAGATGCTTTGCAGATTAAGAAGGCATTGTTTTGCATTTGCTCATTCAAAATTAAAACATAAAACCTGTTAATAGTACGTTAGGATTTTGTACACATAGGTTGTACAAGTCATACTTTATGGAGCTTAAATAAGGGGTCGCGATAAAATGGATAGTTCGACAAATATAATTTTGCCTGCAGCCGTTCTAAATACGTTGTACTTAGTATGACAGAGATTCTCCTTATGTATCGTTTCATGTTGGCGCTGTAGAAGTACTGGTATAGAGATCCTAAACAGTATGCTGATGTTTGAATTAGCTAATGGCATGTTAACTGGTTTGAATAATGTGTAGGAACTGAAAAGTAATATGAAGGATGTTGTATCAGAATGTGTCCTCAAACTAACGTGTTCATTTGATCAAGGCTGCCATGTTGAGCAAAACACAATTCCTATTTAGATATAACACTTCGTGTTGAGCCCTATTTGAATGTATAACACTTTCTAAATAGAAACTTCAACTAACAGACATAGGTTGCAGATGACACAATGGGGCATACTTGGAGAAGGATGTTGCTGTAGAAGAATATACTTCTGAATCTGCATTTAAAAATATTACATTTTCCTTCAGCAACATAGACCTAATATATGCAGGTCAACTCTTTATTCGTAACCTTAGTTTTCTACTATCAACATCAAACGTGAACACCATAAAACATTCAGCCATATTTTTGTGCAGTTTGCAAACCGTTTAAGTGATACTTGCTAGTTCTTTCTTTTAACTCCGGCGCACATCATCGACCATAATTTGTTGATCCTTTCTACATGCAATAATGATCAACCATTGTGACCATTGTGAATATAGACTGATGGGCTAATCCTTTAAAACGACTATTGAACGTGACTGCCCAGTTAATTGCGCCACTCTAACGAATCTATAATTGCTGGCTTACTTATTCATATAAGCGCCTCTTAAACGAATCTGATATTGTTGACTTTACTATTCATAAAAACTAACATCAATATACACCGTTTGCACATCGGAATTGAGGTCGATAACTGTTGAAACGTTTGGACCAACAGGAAGTACGAGTTGTGCTCTCTGACAACGGAGTTTCAAATCCACTCAGTCACCTAACTTCGCCATTAGGCTGGCATCGCTGCCACACCAGTAATTATACTCAAACCGTAAACTTCTTGAATAACGTATATTGCGCGACAAAGCTACTTCAAAGCTGATTGCTCGTATGCCATCAGTGACATTAAGTACAAGCTGGGGAGTTGGGACAGAAAACGAGTGTTTGCTTCATTCAAACAGCTTGTTGCAGTGTGGTAGACAGGGCGACCCGATCACACCCGCGCATTGCATAATTCAGAATCGTAAGTAGGTATATTTGTGTTCAATTTTTAAATATAGATGCAAAAAAATTATTAGTTCTTGATTAACCTGAATATTAAAGGTACCTGGGATAAATCATACATTAGAAGTCCATGGATTTTCGGATTTGTTTGGCAGAAACAGATGGTTCGAAGTGAAACGCCATTTTAAATGAATTTCTAGGTAGACTCGTTTCGTATCAACAAGACTAGCATTCTGCACTAGTAAAAGGCACAAATACATTTGGATACTCGTTGTTTAAACCTATGTTCGGTGTTGAATCTTATATCTCCACAGTCAGCTATTTTAAACATAGATTAAAACAAAATTTAATACGCTTCTGCAATCATCAAATGCAAACATCTTAAAACACTTCGAAATGTATTACAAATTCACGAATAGAAGAAAATATTGACTCGACCAATAGCACGTTAGCGAAAGGTGTGAGACAGCTACATTTGTCAATCAATGGGAGCCAAAATGTTATATTCATTATCTTTGACATCTAAAAACAACGGAGCGGAATTATATAGTACAAACATGGAATGGCGACTGAAAATTCCATAGAAACCGTTGCTAAGGAGGGAACCCGTGCGTATCCCCTTAAGTGGCTGATCGTATCAGTAACGTGTATTCTTTCATACAATAAACATGCTTAGGATAGTATAACCCTTGTGGACATGTAGATATCAAGCAAATTGATTTGTGGTAGACACGTACGGCATTATGGCAAAATATTGAGGAAAATGACTTACCAAAACGATGACAATGATTCTGTAACTGCACAGGAAAAAGATGATTGTGTACTGTGTTGACAGACATAGCTGTAAGTAAACTCTAACTTTTGTCATACACATGTTGTATTGAATGATCATCTGTAAATGTTCATGATACTGAATGCACTAACACAAAATAGTATGCTGGGTTTCACAATGAAACACTGAATGTTTATATACACGTGAGCATCACGATTCTATATTGTGTTGTGGGCTAACAATTTAGCATTTTAGAATGACCTTAAACTAGTCTTAATTATAATGTGTTATAGCCTAGTTGTCACACTGTTCTTGTATGACGGCATTTAAAAATATAAATATATTTATGCTCAGCATCAAGATTTTTTCCCGTCACGACATGGCTGAAATATTGCCGATGTTTAACTCACTTAAAATAATATATCTCCAAAATGTTCATGATCCCTAACATCTGAATAGTTTTGGTTCAGTGTACGTAATATGGTTCATAAAGGGCCTGGACAGCAGGGGGGCGATCCACTTCGCCGGGGATCGATTGGACTTATCGATTTAACGTGTAATAACAAATTTACGCTGTGTCCTGGAATCAGTTTGTTACCATTAACCAACGCAAAGGAACTTATCCAGATCTTGGTTTTTTACTATCTACAAACACCAATAACTTAAATGTAATTTTCATCGCAAAAAGAACGAAAAAACTGTAGTTTATACATAAATACCCCAAAATTGATCCAGTTTACAGAGGCGATTACTATGATCGTATTACGTTAAAAAGTGCGGTAATTTTCAAGATTCTGGCGTACAAGCCTAGAAAAATCACATTAGTATAAAACCCTTGACCGTCCTCCGTATCAGACGCTGAATTTGACATTAAGAAATTGCGCATTTTATTTTTGAATGTGAATGTGTGTGCGTGAGTACACCAATATTTTGTACTGGAGGATATCTTTAGCGTATTTAGCAGCCCATAATGTTCCAGAAATGTTGCATGGAATTGAGATCTGGAGTCCTGACAGGCCAAGCGAGAGTTGGCACCGTCTCCGGACGTAACAAATCACCAACAAAACGTGCATGATGTGGTATTGCATTGCCGTCCATGATGACTGACCTTGTGTTCATAAGATGGTCATCGAAATATGGTACAACAGCCCTGGTTAGGATGTCAGTGATGTACCGTTGTCAATTTAGATTTTGTTTGATCGTCACGAGGTCAAGTTTACACTCATGTGAGAGGAACACATCAACGAACCCACGCAAAACGTTACTTGCCCCAAGAAATTCCGTGGTGCATATGCAGTGTTTTGGTGGCGCTAAACACAAGCTCGGCCATCAGTCATGAACAAAAGAACTCGACTTTAGACATGAAACCAAGCCAGGCTTGCTACTTTGTGTTCTGGGGTAGGTGACGGGCGTCTGTCAGCCCGCCAGCCGATTTCGGACAATTCCTTTTGACAAACGACTATATGGAAGCAACTTTGTTTTTAACACGCTACTTGGCATGCACAGATGAAGTCTTGACCGAACGCGTGTATTTCTAAAATCATTGTTTTGTGCTCCCTAAGGGTCAGAATGATCATACAGACAAACATGAAAAAGATATTACTATATATAGCTATATCGTGGTTAAAAATAATAGGTGTTGCATGAGTATGTGTCGTAATCACAAATATAGAACTTGTGGGAAGGTGCTGGCAGACAGTTTCATTGTCATTATCAATTGCTTTTGTATTCATTCAGACCGAGAACGCCATGACATCATTCTACACATTTGTATGGATAATTGGTAAGTAATTGTGTTTTAATGGATACGATTTTTACAACATTAACTGTTTGCATTAAGCAATCAATATGTACTTTGACAGTGGCACCAAAACGAACAAAATACCCCAACAAAAATACAGGAACGTATGGTAGACGTCAATTCTGGGAATGGCATGGGGAACACTTTCCTTGCTCATGCGCGGGATTTGGATACGTTTAGTCAAAAGGTCTTGCCCACACATTGTACATGGATGTTGTCACTGAGGCTGTTCAGCATTCCAAGTCATGTTTTCTCAGTATATCTCAGGTATATCTCAAGTGATATTTTGACACGTGAAGATCCGGGTTAGAATTGACCTTCAGTAACCCATGCTTGTTGTACCAACGCACTTGTGTGCTGGCGATTAGGTGCCTGACTCTGAGGGTGTGGGTTCGAATCCCGGATGGAACTCAGACCAAAAAGTACAAGAATCTGTACTTTAGTAAGAAAGTGTAATCCCAAAAATAACATATGTTACATTTGACCACTTTATAAATGGCATTGTGTAATCATAATCTATAGCCTGTTCTTATATTGTGTTGTCCTCTATAGGTAAACTATTTTAAATTTAGTTAATATAGTTTTGAAATCTATATCTGTGATAATCTAGTTGTTTTACTGTTCATCGTTGACTGCTTTTTATGATTTACCTTTAATTATTATTATACTACATCTTGATTTAGTAACGATATGGCTGAAATACTGCCGATGTGACTTAAAATCTTAACTAACTCACTCACTCACTCAAGCCGTTTCGTTTCTTGAGGATTCCCCAAAAAGCAGTACCAACGCACTCATGCCTTTGGTAATATCATTACCCTTGAACAAATGTTTATAAAAGATTTCCGATCATTTTAATAACGCACTCACATCTTTACTCTTGGCCATTTGTTTATAAAAGATCTCCGATCCAATTAAGGTATTGTGACATCAGAAATGACCCATGGTGTTATTCTTTGATGTAAGGCGTTTTGATATCATTATTTCTGTATATTTGTTCAAAACTTGCGATTTCAGCAATATCACTCCTTTGTTGTTCTTTGAACTACGGGGCGGTGGGGTAGCCTAGTGGTCAAAGCGTTGGCTCGTCACGCCGAAGACCCGAGTTCGAATCCCCACATGGGTACAATGTGTGAAGCCCATTTCTGGTGTCCCCCGCCGTGATGTTGCTGGAATATTGCTAAAAGCGGCGTAAAACCAAACTCAGTCAGTCAGTCTTTGAACTACAGTGTTGCGATATCAGCAGCCATATTCCTTCGTTGTTTGATCTCAGCTGCCAGGTCATCCGTTACTCGTATGATCCTTCTTTTATCTGAGGTGTTGTGAAATCAGTAATCCTAGTTTTTATTGTTCTTTGGAATAAATAACCTAAATGCCTCCTTCTTGAAACTTTCTCAAAAGCATTCAATTGACATTATTCTGGTCATACGGATAATCATATGCAGCAAAACTAAACATTTTGAGATGTATATTAACAATTAAGAGGCTATTCCACTTATTTATTCAATTATCTAGGAATGAAGTCGAATGTTTTTATATGGACTTAGAAAATGGTTATTCCATTCACAATGTGCTATGAATGTCATATTTTATTGAATATCCATTATTTTCGTTAATAGTATATGTAACTAATACAATCCCAAAGGCTCTGCCACTATATCGCTTACACATAGTTAATATCGATTGAACAGGGAAACCGTTACGAACCTGACAGCATCAGATAATACACAGGGCATATGCATTAAAGAACCCACATGAGAGTTGAAGAGTTTCAATGTCGCAGAGTGCAGTAGTCTCCCATATATTTCAACCGGTAGCGACCGGAGACACATAAATTTGTCATACAAAACTTGCGTACACGGGAGATCAAGTTTTATCTCTTAGGGTATTGATTCTTTCACCGATTCACATTCATTTTTATGAAAATGTTTGGTCCCATGACGACTTTATTTTGTATGTTGTGAAACAAAATCAATAAGAAGAAATGACTACAATGACACTGCAACTCAAAAGCATGAATCGTTAATGTTCAACACACATCACTACTCTGTACATTCGAGATGATGGTGATTACAGTTCACACACTTTAAAAGGTGGCACAATGAATATGTATGAGAACTGTGAGGTAAGGCTATATATCAAATATCAAAACCCTCAGCTTCTAGTTTTAAACTCACACAGACGAACCTTTATACATTATATATTATGAACACAATTAACACAATTAAAATTTCTGTGACATTTCACAAAATCAAATGTTGCATTCTAGTAGTGAGTGAGTGAGCTTAGTTTTACGCCGCTTTTAGCAATATTCCAGCAATATTACGGTAGGAGACACCAGAAATGGGCTTCACACATTGTACCCATATTGGGACTAGAACCCGGTCTTCGGCGTGACGAGCGAACGCTTAGACCACTAGGCTACCCCACCGCCCCTGCATTCTAGTAGCAATTGAGTGAGTGAGTTAAAGTTTAGCGTCACGTCGGCAATATAGTAGCAACTGAAGTTCGTGCAAGTATTCTAAAAGATGTATCAACAAGTAGTATGTACATGTGTTCCTTTCAAAACCACAATACAACGTTTGGTTGATTGTTCTATAGTTTCCAAGAATGTATGACCTCATTATCATGATGTTAAAGAATTTAATTCGCTAATTGCATTTTAAGTAATAACATGGCATCATGTTCGTGCTCATCATATTCCCGTTTACCATATTCTACTGAAACAAGAATGTTCGAAAGGCAGTTTTACACTCATTGGAATGTTTCATTTATGTTGCTGAAATTGTTGATTCGACAATAAGCCATGATTATACCTGTCGACGTCAGCAGGAACGTTGCAGACAGCGACTACAGCAACACGCCATGGTACACGCTTTACTGTATACACACTGGACAAGACGCAAACGGATGCTCTTCTCTCTTCTGTGAAGAAAGGGGAGACCATCTAGTCAGCTTCCAGACTGAAGAAAAATTCAACCGATTCCTGGAAATCATTAAACCTTGGATCTCTAAGAACCTATTGTAAGTTTGTCAGTTTTGCATTTGTTTTATTATTTTCTTTCCTGATTCTCACAAATGTTATGACTGTCTTACTCGTTTTCCTGAAAACGTTGGGCCCATTTTGAAAACCAAGGATTACTACACTCTATTTGTTCTTGAAGATTTTTTCGATAAGGTGGCAGGTTCTCCTTTTGAAGACGAGTATGTCTTTTGTTTGATGCATTATTGTTAGCGGTATTAATATTCCACATTTGAAACCAAGATTTCTATTTACGTGAATTCATATTTATCAGAAGAAAGTATGTATTTAGTAGTAAAGGCCAAAGTACAGTTAGAACAACGTTTATTTCACAGGGACAGGTGGGTGAAATGCCACATAAATCTCATGAAAATATTTATGTATAATTAAACAAGCAGATCGGTTTTTAACTATATAGAAATGTATTTCTTTGGCTTTATAATCAGTGTTGTTTATAATTGACAGAACTGTGTTCGTTATTGATACATGTAATAGTAACAACAGATTTGTTCCGAATGGAACTGGAAAGTCGAGACTCGATTATTCACAATTATAGGTAAAATACATGGAATTATCATGAAACGACCCTCCTGTTATCAGAAATTTGCGGGCCGCTGCAAATGATATTGGACCGCTCAACCTTAACGACGGGCCACTATCAGTTCTGTTGTCAAGTGACGTCATAGCGGGTGCGTAGGTTCATTCGACTTTGGCTTTGGACTGGCAGATATTCTGGGGCAAACAAGTCAAAGCAACCCGAATTCCCGCTTTAAATAGCGGTAATATTGGCTTTCTTGCTGGTGCTAACCTTAACAATTGCACTATTAATGTTGTTGTTGGACCAAAACCGAACCCTGAAAACTGACGTTGTATCTGACATAGTTTGACATGGTGCACCCTATGGCCAAGGTCGAATATCGTCACGTTCCGTGTGACGTCACTTGAATTGTTCGACGACGTAATTGCATTCGGTCAGTCAACCCCGTCAGAAGTTGGTTTTGAGTAAACTTACAGTCAAATTCCTTCATTGTTTCCTTTTTCTCTTCAACACAAATTTCATGTATTTTAGCAATAATAACGGTAATGCTATTTTTGAGGGCATTATCATTTGCAGAAGCCCTCGGTCTTTTTCAACTGCCCCCCTTCGTCGGCCAGGTAAAGGAAGACCTAGCGCTTCTGCAAATGATAATGCCCTCAAGAATAGCATTATCCTTATAACAGCCGGCATATTATAGCTTGCTGGTTTATACAGCCCATGTTTGGTTGATGTGACATAATGTATTGCGTAGTTATGTGTTTTAATTTGACGAGGTCTAAGTTGTGACAAGCATTAATTTTCACGCGCTTTGTCGACATCAATTATACGACGAATACTTTGTTCATATCGCTGTATGGCTGTATTAATTTCGATGCTGTGTACAGTTGTACCTCACTCACTCATTACAGCTGGAATATTGCTCAGAGAATAACATATTAACCTTAGTGACAACTTGGAATGTCATGAAATATGAGTGAGTATGTTGAGTTTTACGCCGCTTTTAGCAATATACCAGCAATAGTGGACGTCGTGCAGCATTGCGCAGGTGTTTTGAGTGTGTGAGTGAGGATAGTTTTACGCCGCTTTTAGCAACAGTCCAGCAAAAGCACGGCGGTGGACACCAAATATGTGCTTCGCACATTGTACCTGCGTTGGGAATCAAGCCCTGGTCTACGGCGTGACGAGCAAACGCTTTAACCACCAAATATTAAGTAACTCACTACAAACATATATTTAAACAATTACATGAGTATACAGACGTCATGACTTACTTCAAACTTCCTTTTCAGAACTAACAGCTTCTGGGTTAGTTTAAGGAAGAACTCTTCGTCGTTTGTTTGGCATGACCGTACGGAATATGAAGACGACTATTCTAATTTCACCATGACAGTTAATCAGTCGGAAAAACAATGTTTTATTGTCTCGAAAGGCGTGAACAGATATGACCTGATAGAGGAACATTGTTTTAATGAAACGTATCAAGTTATCTGTGAAAAGGACCTGGGTGAGTATTCTTTCGTGTCCTTATACCTCCAGTAAAACCTCAAACAGTTCGGCGCCATTCTGAAGATGGTCTGGCTGATACAAATAGTGCTTTTATGATATCTTGCTAGTACGTTCTTGTCTCTCGAGTTTGTTTTTACAGGAGTGGCCGGTTTAAAGAACATCTTTGGCGGAGACTCTGATTTCGAATTTGCATAAAGCAGGATGCAAATTTAACTGATTAGTCAAGGACACAATCCCACGTTAACTGCAAAGAGCTGCGCTGTTTGGCTGTGTATGATTAATAAATATGTTTTACGTACTAGTATTGTGACCATGAATACCATCAGTAGACGGAATTCTATAATGATCTTGAACGTTGCTGCTGTTATGTTTGCAAACGTCATAGCAGGAACATGTATCAATATTCATGCAGGGATATATATGAATATTCATGTTAGACTAAATAGCAGTCGGTCTCAGTTAGTCTGTTCAATGAAGGTAAAACGCTGTTGTATATTTACACATAAATTCATATCAAGGTGGATGATACCTACAATGCCACAGCCATCCTCCCTTGATATCACATTAACCATACACAACGAATTATCGATGTATAAGACAAAATATTATGGATGTCAACTTCTTTATTGCATACACAACGTTTCTGGGCTTTTCCTTGCCCTTTCACTCAGGTGAACTATCGATGGTAGCTAAGGCAAACGAGTGTAGTATTTTCCATATACGAGTGCAGGAAACAAAATGAAGAGTAGTACAGTACTCAAAAGATGCATTTACACTCAGATAGACACACACAGACACATAGTTAGACACAGACACACAGACACAAAGTAAGAGAGTGAGTGAGTTATTATTTAACGTCACATCGGCAATATTTCAGCCATATCGTGACGAGAACATATGTGACATTGAAATGGAATAGATGTATATTATAAAAACCTGCCAACGAAGGACAGTAAAACAACTAGAATATCACAATTACAACTACAACTAGTGTGGGAAATTAAAACTAATAGCACTATTTGGACAATACAATATAAAAACTGGCTATAGATCGCCAACAATTGAAGGTAGATCACCAAACTAGGGACTAGTAAGAGAGAGACACACACAGAGATACATACAAACACACACGGGCATACACACACACACACACACACACACACACACACACACACACACACACACACACACACACACACACATACAAACACAGATTCACATATAACCCCATAGATAGCGACAGACATGGGCATATGCACAGACTCGCACACACTCGTACACACACACACACACACACACACACACGCACGTGTACGAACAACTCGTCAGGTGAATGTGGTGTACAACAAGGTGAACACATATCACATATTCTGTTTAATCAGGTTTGTGTCCTTTTGAAGTCTTCCCAGACACCAAATACATGCCGAATGCCCAAATCGTGAAAACTGGTGCTGGCAAACTTGACATGGAGACATGTCAACGTGGTTGTCTGGATCACACCGCCATCAACGATGAGTGCATTGGCGTGGAGCGGGATAGAGACGACACGTGCCATATATTGACAGGAATGATGGCTGTCTATGAGACTGTTCCAACATCCCCAGAGTCTGGCTCAACTCTCTCACTTAAGAAGTGCTATGAAGGTAATATATCTATGTTTTTGATACCAAGTAACGTTTCATTTACCCATATAAAATACACCTTCGGCGCATGAGTGAATCAGTGGTCGACAGCTTTGGAATTCACTGACAGAGTATTAGTGCCAGGATATGTTGCTCGTAGGATCGAATCCGAGATTCGACTAAATTGTTGACCGACATTACCTTTCCCAATAGGCCCAGCATGGATTGACCAGGAAAGCAAACCTTGATCCTATGACGGGTTACGATTTGAGCGTTTTTCCAGCATATTCCTTCGGAAAAAATATAATTCTCTAAATCCTCTTTGTTTCTGAGAATCAATTGTATTATAATCCTGATCAATATATTTTAGAGGAATCAAGTAAGTGTGTTTATAATCAACATCATATTGAGCAAAATCAAAGATATCAGGTTAACGTCAAATGGCAGTCTGCAGAAGGGCAGGTATCTAATGTTTATCAATTTAATGAAAAAAAACCGAGCTGGGTAAAAACGCTTTCAAAGCACGAATCAAAATTAGAAAAATCAAAAGAGAATCATAGCTGTCTGTTAAGCCACGAGGATACGATTTCAAGACGACTTGGGCACCCGTCCTTACCCATGTGTAACGAGGAGAAATATTTGTATGCCTTTCTTTCTCATTTTAGTTGTGTACCATGACAAAAAGATATTCTGTACCATCACGAACTAAAGAAGATGTTTAAGTAGCAATCAGATTGTGTTTAATATTATCTTTCATGCATTTTTAAGAACATGTCGGAGGCAACCCAAGTCAAGCGACCATATTCACCTTGTACAATTTTAAACTGACGTGGGACCAGACACGTGCTTTCTGCGAATACACAAACCAGAGCATGCTCAAACTGGACAGTCCAACGAAGATTGCTGCATTTAACGATATGCACAAAGAATGGCTTGACCACGAACTAGTGTAAGTAATTCAAAGTATTATTCACACAACATTATTTGTTTCACATGTAAATTAATGAATCCATGATTGGGTGGATGACAAGATGGGAAACTGGAAAAGAAATCACTTCCTCCTTAAAATTCCTTCCCTGTTTTCATGTCAAATACCCCTTCAGAACTTAGACTGACTGACTGAGTTTAGTTTTACGCCGCTTTTAGCAATATTCCAGCAATATCACGGCGGGGGACACCAGAAATGGGATTCACACATTGTGCCCATGTGGGGAATCGAACCCGGGTCTTCGGCGTGACGAGCCAACGCTTTAACCACTAGGCTGCCCAACCGCCCCTTTCAGAACTTAGATGTATGATATGCTTTTGTTCTGGGGTTAAACGATCGGGTACAATGTACTTGCATACGTACCAAATTGTGCTTTTCTAGAGAGGATGACGTACCGAACGAGGACTTACTACGAGATCCAGTACCTACGAGATACAGGAGTTGACATTATGTAGAATGGACCAACCTCCCCTTTTCTGATCTTTTGTGTCGTAGCGGTTGGAGAACTTTAGCGAAGAGGCCACAATCGCTTGCTCACGTATTATGTAATAACGTGACATAGTGCATCGCCAGTTGCTTCCCTTTGACCGTGGCTCTGATAAGGAGTGCATTTTTATCCTTTGTTTTGGGATAAATGTGTGAATGAATATTAAGTCACATCCACAGTATTTCAGCATACCGTGACAAAAAACATGTAGTATACATTAACAGCACATTTAGAGAGAAAAACATGTCAAAAGACAGTAAAAGAACGATTTAATCACAGATATAGACCCATAAAAGTATGTAAACATTACAATATGACTATTCATTATATACTATCAGGCTTTAGATCACCAAAGTTATGTCACCATACTTCAGGACCATGGTGACTTTGAGTACTTCTGCTACCTGCAATGTTCCCAAGCTATCTACTGGTGTTATCAGATATTTAAAATAGGCGGTTAAAAGAACATTTTGTCCCTAGTGCTTACAAACTGTACGAGCTGCGACGTACCTATAAAATTGAAAAGAAGCACACTGTAAAGCTGAAATAACTCTTTGGCCGAGAAAATGGTAAATAAGTCTTGCTCAGCATGTCGTTTATTGTACGCCAAATCCCCGAACTGGTTTGCCGGTACGCCATATAGTTCAGTGCTGCAAACCGAGCCGTTAAACAACACATACATAAACTAGAACATGCTTATGAATGTGTGACAGTGTATTTGAAAGATTAGCGATTATTTGTTTTAGGTTCACACACATCTGGATAGGCCTCCGTTACACAAACGCAAGTGGGCCGGAATCGTACAAGTGGACCAACGAACAACCGCTTTCTTCTGTTAACCGATGGACAATAGGAGAACCTCAGGAATCCGTCACTAAACAATGTATTTTCTTTCGGAAAGGAAACCGTAAATGGAAATCAAACGACTGTACGATAAGGTACCAAGTTGCATGTGAACAGCCAACAGGTAATTTTGTGAATAAAGTTAACATGTATAATTAATTCCGTAATGTTTCTGACGTTCAGCATAGTGAAGAACTACTGAATTGTCTCCCTTTGTTAATTCCCATGCCTCGTGGTTACAAAAAACCCAATATGTTTTCACATAGACTTTCGTAGTATCGTTATACTGTCTCAAAATATAACCAAATCGTTAACAGCCATATGCACATTATGACATTACAGCCACAATAAGAATACCATTTTTGGCTTGGTTAACCAATTCCTTTTCGGAGTTCAGGAAGTTGAACACACCAACCACAGTTCCGCACCAAATATCACCTTCTCGAAAATATCTCTGCACACATTCAATACAAGTCATTGTGTTAAAAAAGAGAGCACTAAATATTGACAAACATGGTCAGTTTTAATTACTGGACGGATGTACATTTATAAAAACACCAGCATCTTACACAAAATTATCCAATTATGACTGCCAGATGATTCTACCTGCACTGAAAACCGAACGAAAACTACGGAATCAGATTCGGTGAAGTATAACCTCGCATGTTAGTGCTTCCGGTTTCGGATCGCAGTGCATTGTTTGTGTTTTTAGTATGTTTATTCAATGTTCTGTTGTTCGAAATTAGAGGGATGTAACGGCTATATTTGGATCAATACACAATTTGAACAACGAATGCATATTACATGAAACATCCCATAGCAGAGAAAGTAGTCTCTAACTACTTTAAATCAGTTCTCAATGTTGAATCTTACTTTCATCGAATTGATACAATCATCCCAAGAAAACCTATTGCACATTTCTGCAATTGGACAACATTGCGATTTTAGTTAAGGATGTCAACAGTACACTTACTGCTTATAAATTTGGTGAAAGCTGTATAGATATCGAATACACATTTATGCATTAATGTGATTCCTATGTCCAGCTGGCTAAAATACATGTATGATGTAACTTCTGCTTCTGACAAATGTACTGAACTATTATATGTTTCATCGATGTCCAAATTGTCCAAATATGAATCGCTTTCAAGTAACATGTATTTTATGACATAATCCTTTTATTCATTTGTCACATCATACACCCACCATGTTTACTGTATTTGCAGGTGGTGCAACTCATCGTGGTGTTATTTTATGTACGACTCTTTGTACATTATGTTGTATTGTTCTACGGACAATCTTAAAACTCACGAAAAAACGAAATATGTGCGTACCTCTTTTAGGAGCCATCTTTTTTTCTGTCATCAGCGGCATGCAGTTTCAAGGAGACGATGATGGTACCAGTGGAAGCTCCATCGAACACAACGGCAGGTGGCACCGAGATGGATTGTCAGCGGAGGTGTCGAACCCAAGCCTGGGACGGCTTCGAGTGCTCGCTGTACATTTATGATAACGTCACCAGTATATGTATTCTATACTCTGGTACACTCACCTTAGAAGCTTCTGCGAGACCAGCAATGAAGAAAGAGTGCTTCTTTGGTAAATCCCCTTTACCCATTACAAGTACATGTAAGGTGAAATTGGCTCAACTGCCCAGTTCGTCAAAACTAGTACTAGTTCTATATTCTAGTCCACTCTGTTTTTAACATGGGAAGTGTAACATGGTGACCATACACAGAAAGATATGTCATTAGTTTAGTCTTAATAACTAGTATCAATGAGAACTAGAGGTGTGATTTTCCTTTGGTATGACAGGGCCATTAGATTGGCCTACCCACTTTCCACTCTCCAGACTGGCGCTCCATACCACACATTACGAAGACGGTCAAGGTCTTCCTAGAAATATACTCAGAGGCAAACGTTATTGTGATATAAAATGTTTTCATTGGTCCTTTTGTGAAGACATTGTTTTTATTTGAACTGGAAATGTGTGTCTTAAAATGGTCGAATAAACGCCGTCAGAGATTGCTTGTTAAAAATAGCACAACATTTGCAAGAAGCATGGAAAATGGCCAGCAGTGTTCACATTGAAAGGACAGACAAAAGGTAGCCTATCATTCCACTCAGTGCCTTCTTCGGAAGTCAGAAAAAATACCTCTATTCATTGTTCGGGATCAAGTTCGATATGCCACATCTTTGGGAAAATGACATAGGGAGAGCTATAGTATGCTTCAGTCTGATACCTCATGACGTTGCTCGCAGATTCATACACACACTATTTGCACTGATGGTGGTGTTTTCAGCATAAACATAAAGTTATGGACTGTCGCCATATTGGCCGCCCATCAGTAACGACCAAACGTCAAGACCAATGAATGCGAACCACAAACCTCCGACACAGGATCCAGCCAGCTGTTAAAAGAATCTGGCAACGAGAACAGTTCGAGGAGGTCTACGCATCTAGACCTCGGCAAGGCGCAGGAGTCGACAGCCAGTTATGACGGCAGAACATCGACGTCGACATATTCAGTTAAGGAGACGCTTGCGATGAGGAGCACGTGAGTGGAGAAGAGTTATCCTCACTGATGAGTGATATTTCCTTCTTCATCGAGGGCGTTCAGGTGGACATCATGTCGTGTTCTGGAAGGTGGTCGTTTTGGAGGTGAAAGCGTTATGATGTGCGGTCACTTTACAACTGCAGCAAGGACGCCAGTTATTGTGAATTGAGGGGAACATGAATGCTGTGAGGTACAGAGACGAGATTTGGCAGATGACCGCTTCACTGGTTTTAACAGTATGGTTTGGAGTGACGCTAGCCCACAGCAGCATCTTAATCAGAAAAGTGTTACCTTGGCATGATGATACCCTGATTTGTCACCCATTAACCTATCCTGGGATGAAATTGGGCACACAACGTATACATCGTCACCCGAACCCTCCAGCAACACCGCCAAATTCTTCCTCAGAAATGAAATGATCTTATCCAAGACTTTCATCGACATTTAGTGACCTCAGTCAGGCGAGGATGCCCGGCTTGCATCCATACACAAATTGGACACATCACTAACCGTTTAATCTTGCTGCTGAAGGCCCTTTTGTGTTCTGGCTCACTGGCATGTGCCAGGTGCGCTTATCGGCTGTTGATCGTTAACATAACCTGAAACGTTTGCCTTTCCATCCAAGAATATTTCATTCGTTGCAGTAAACGTCTACCTTATCCTGTTTGATCTGTGTGTAATAATAAAATACGCCTTTGAGTATATTGATATATATTTTAGCATGATCTGGGAGAGGTCCATTGAGAAATGTCTTCTCATGACGTTATTTTTCCCACGAGAATATTCTCAACGTACTCCACGATGTTTGGTCATTCTTCGACTTTGAGGCAGTTACGACATGTGACAAAGGCGAAGCATGTAGTCATTTTTGCCTTCATATTTACAAGAAAATTTACAAATTTTCTACCTTACGAATGTAGACTTTAATGTCGATTTCCAATGAATAATAAAACCACTTCTCTTCGTTTTTTCCAGAACATGTCTCTTCACATGTAAACGTTGCTAACCGTTATTCTTTCTACGACTTGGAGTTCACTAAACTCGACTCTGATACATTCTGCGACCTAGTTGGAGAGGAACCACTCAACCTAACTGACAGTTCCCGATACAACTCTTTTGTGCAGGTTCTTCAGCAACAAAATAATATACCAATGTAAGCATGCCAGGATGCCAGGATTTGAGGATTAACATTTTAAACGTGTGAACAAACGTCACGTGCTGCAGTATGACTTGAAACTCCGTATATCCTAAACAAAGAAAGGAAATTTTCAACTACTTTTTATATTGGTTTACAGATTACCTATGTAACTAGACATATGCTATCAAACAGTGTCGGTTGGTATGATTTTAAAACGCTGAGGCCGTTGTAATTAGAAACTGTAGTCATATCACATTCTTTTTAGCTATGGTGAAATCTGGGCGGAACTGGGAACGTCAGAGACGACAAGCTGCAGCGTTATCACAACAGCTGCAACGATTAACTCCACAGCGAAGGACTGTAATGGACAGGCACAGACAGTATGTTTCACTGACAAATGTGAGTTGACAGGGCTATAAATAGGAGACACAGTTTGTCAGTCAAGTGTGCATTGAGTGTTCTTGATAACACAATGTGCATTGATTACATCGTGGTCTTATTCCCCAGTTTGGTTTCCAAATGCTTGGTTGGTTGCTGTTTAACGCCGCACTCAGCAATATTCCAGCTATATGTCGGCGCTATGTAAATAATCCAGTCTGGACCTGCGATCTGATAATGAGCATCATGAACATCGATTACGCAATTGGGATACGATGACACGTGTCAACCAAGTCAGCGAGCCTGACCACCCGATCGCGTTAGTCGCCTCTTTCGACCAGCATGGGTTACTGAGGACCAATTGTACCCCGGATCTTCACGGGTTGTTTCCAAGTGAGAATCAATTCCCAGTGACGTCTGTGTGTCGTAAGAGGCCAAGGTATATATCTCATGATGACATTTAGTCATTGATAGATTGTCGTACTCTGACGGCTTTGGTATATTAAATACTGCGTTTGTCCCCAATACTTCATTATATAGGCCGTGAAATAGCTGAAATACAATTGATAACTGACTGCAGTGGGGATGCAGTACCAACTTTAACAATGACTTAAATCTGATCCCTAACACATTCTGTCGATAATCGTCAGCTATGATAATAATTTCTTTGAATTTTACTCTTTACTTTTAATTTTACAATGAATGCACAGTTTGTCACATTTGAAATATGATATGTATCGCGCCAGTTAAAAGATCTTTCATCTATTAAGCACTTATGGATGTTTGCAAGTGACCAAAAAATGCTATATTGGAAAGGCCAATCGTATACCTCGATCTTTCACAATTGAAAATATATAACGTGGACATAATTGAAATATAATGAACAGCAGAAATTACAAAATCTACACGGTTGGATGTACGTAGAACCACCAGGTATCAGTAGCTCCTGTGACTAAGTTCTATTTCAGTGTCAAGTGTTTTCGTCACGATATGCCTGAAATATTGCCGATGTGACGTTAAATAATAACTCACTCACTCACTCACTCCTGTGACTAAGGTCATTGCTATGGTGGATTTATAGCTAATTTGATTTCGAGTTTGCTTCTCCAGTGATAACCCATGTGACAACTGATCCATGTATTTAAGCTTTCCCGCATCTACCTTTCCACAGTTGACTGTGTGTTTCGGATTAACAAAGACGTAACCATATCCGGAGAGGATTTTCTGCACCTGCCCGGCTTGAGTCGTTTCGTCTGTAGAGACGTTTGTTCACGGGTGGAAGCTGGTGACAAGATATGTGTGGGGTTCGAACACGACCTGGACACCGATTGCAGGCTGGTGATGAGACAGGTGCTCATGAATGGTTCTTTAACTGGTGTCGTTCACCGTGCTGGTAACCAGTTGAATGTGGTAAAGTGCAACTTTGGTAAGTATGGTATCAAACGGTTAACATTTTATGTCTGTTGCTTGTTGCGTAATGTCACACTAATAACAATATTACAGCAATTTGACATTTAAGCAATTGCCATTTGCCTCATATGCACCACAGAATTGAATACGTCTAGAACCAAAGTGACTATTCATTTGGATGCATTATATTGAAATTGTTTAAATATGCAATTATCCGAAAGTAATGTAGTTTACAAAAACCGTATGTGTATATGTTATATATGGGATTAAGCTTTCTCAGTAAAGCACCGGTCCTAGTACATTTATAAGGTTAAGTCCTTTGGGGATTCGAACCCAGACTCTCGGAGCCAGGTACCTAATCGCCAGCACAGGAAGTCAGCCCACAGCGGCTTCCACAAAAATGGAAGTCGGATACCTTGTAGTGTAGATCATGTACCTTGCGTACCCCTCTGACAAGTGTCAATTGGCACGGCTCCCACGACCGAAAGCTATCCAAGAGCATATCTGATATTTTCCATTGTATCTTGGACCAGTGAAGACCCGGGTCTTCAGCAACCCATGCTTGTCGACTAACGGGATCGGGGATGGGGGTGGGATGGGTCACGCTCGCTGACATGGTTGACACATGTCATCGCATCCCAACTGTTCTTTGGTTTGTCTGACCCAGACTCGATTATTTACACACCGCCGCCATATAGCTGGAATATTGCTGAGTGCGGTGTTAAACAACCAACCATTATATCCTCAAATTGATAGTACTGACACTGTTAAATCACATATTCTGTATGGCACTTATTCTGATTATCATTTGGTCAAATACGCAGAGCAGTTATTCTCTGGCATTGATGTTATATATTCATGTATTTGCAGGTTCATTTGGGAAGCAAGAAACTACAGCAAAGACATTCAGTGTCCACGGCCTAAGCCTGACCAGGGACGCTGGGAATGATTTCTGCACACAGATAGGAAGACAGCCTCTTCTGCCATATTCCATTACTGAATTACATTCCATCTTTGACGTTTTGGATTATTGGCAGGATTTAAATTTCTTGTAAATAATATTTTTCTGTTTTAACTCCATCCAAATAGTAAGAACATAAACATAGTTCATTCGCCAAGGGCACTGCAATTCACTCAAACCGAAACACGAGTTTTATGAACCTATTCAGACAATGACCTACTTTTCAGCCGAATTTTCTCGTGTGAAAATGAAAAGAGACGCCACAAACAACTATGGTTACACTGAATTCCAATTCCTTGTTTTATAAGAAAATTGTATTCACTAGTTATTTTAATCTTTAATAACATCGTATTTCTATATTTTATGGCGAGGTGTAGGCAGCACGTCAGATACTGCCCCTGTTTGATGAGGTCGTAAAATGATTCACAATTCATCAGGCTCACAGGTTACACCTGTTATGTGTTCTTTGCGCTTATTCAGTAACGCACAATGTGATTGATATAATATCAAGTCCGTACCAGACCGCCAGATTTTACTAGCGGCAGAGCCTCGTTTGGAGATTTCCAGATTTCCGTTTGTCAGAGCACGCTGCACGACGTGTTTACAAGGATTAGAAGGAGCGTAGTGTTGCAATATACAAGTTCTTAGAAGTATAAAATAATACTGATTAATATTTATGTATCCAGTTGAATGAATTGGTCTAAAAATTCTGGACTGGTTATTGTACGAAGTTGCGCAATAGGACGGAACCCAGTCAGCAGGAAACGAGACTGTTGTGTAATCAATGTTGTGACTTGACAGGGTCCCTTTGGTAGTCCATGATCCTATAAATTAGAATCCAAGAGTAAGTGAGAGAGTTGGGTTTGTAAGTCGCATATCCCAGATTTGAACCCAGACCAACCTTAGTTAATCAAAGCAATAAACATCCATGTTATGCTTCAGCAACATATCTGAAAACCGTAAAGCTATAAAAAACTCTTCAATAATCGTGAGAAACCTCTGGCAAGATCAGAGTCGATAGTACGAGTCCGACTATATGTACAGGAATCACTATCAAAGAGTGATGACACGAGGTGGTCGCGGAAAGATTAACACCTTCCCTATCGGTTGCAACCATCATAACACACTCGAAGGCAAGTGAGTTGGTCATTTGGAAAAAAAGAGTAAAGATATCAAATTGCATCTGACGTCTCTTTTGCCCCCTGAAGCCTCAAATTTGGAAACGTCCTACAAATGTCTACCATAAAACGTTTTGAAACCTTCCAAATACGCTGTTTGAAATTCTGTTAAGAAAAAGCTCGACTCAAGAGAAATGAAAAAGAAACGTCTCAAGCTGGTGCTGAAGGAATATTGCACAAGATCTAACAGCAAATTGATGGCCTCCTTATGGGTTTCCCCTTGTCCCCACTTATTACAGAAATATATTTGACCAACTTTGAAGAAGCCGCTTTAATGTCATCCCCCTTCCAGTCCTATGCTGGTACAGAAGACTCGACTTTACATTCACCATCACAGACAAAGACAAGGACCCTACTGGACAACCTCAGCCTACAATTAATATTTTGATATACGAATAATGGTATTTCGTCATTGGTACCATTGCGTTATGTGGCCGATAAGATGGCCCTGTACTTAGGCTTGACGGGGTGGGAAGAATAGTCAATTTTACGTCTCATATAAATTAAATACTGTGTGCATGGCAAAACAATCTTTTAACATCAGATGAAATACAATGCTATGTTGTTTTAAGTTCTATATGTCACACACCTGGTATCAAGGATCACTGTTTAGAAGTGGTGTATGAGCAACTACTCATGATTCATAATCTTATGATCAGGCAATTTGTGTTGTTTGTATGCACAGTGCGCTAAAAGGGTACATCACAATAACATGTGTTTCTATTTCTAGCTCGGATGTGGATCATGTTTGGACCAACGTGGATCTTTCCCAGTTTGGGCACACGGTTTCTGACCTCAAGTCATCTGACGACACAAATGGCGATTCCTGTATCGCTTTGAACCACATCAAAGCGACATGGACCTCGTTTAGTTGTGATAGAGAGTGTTATGTTGTGTGTCAAAGTATCGATGGTGAGTACAGTCTTTTAAATTAGTTGATTTGATTTGGCACATGTTGTGGTGTTTCTCTGGAAGTACTAAACATATATTGGTATAGAATAATCAACATGTTTTCGTGACATGAAAATAGATTCGTTATGTTATATTTTCAAAAAAATACAAAGGTAAAAAACAAATTTTTCCAATCTATGGAAGAGGTAAGACTGAACAGGCTTATGCGTCAACATGAGTACAAGACATTCATAGTATACGGTTAACGTTGAGACCTGCTAATGGGAAAACGTTAAAGTGAGTGAGTGAATTAATATTTAACGTCACATCGGCAATATTTCAGCCATATCGTGACGAGAACATTTGATATTGAAATGAAATATATGTATATTATAAAAACCTGCCGACGAAGGACAATAAAACAACTAGAATATCACAGATATGTATGTAAAACTAGTAATTAAATCTAGAACGTTTTAACCATAGGAAAAAACAATACAGTATAAAAATGGGCTATAAATCGCCAATAACTGAAGGTAGATCACCATACCAGGGACCATGGGGACTTACATTACTTTTGCTACAGGAAAACGTTAAACCAAAATGTAGCAGAATGATCACAATACAATCAACTCTTCTCTAATTCCTACGAAAGCTGAGAGTCACAATACGTGGAAGCATAAGGAGTTCATAGCACATTGAAAATGTTATTCAATAGACATTTAAGTAGGACAATAATAAATATCTCAAAAGTGTCATTTCATGAAAACTCCAAAATGCAGTTGTTATGACATTGCTACCACGATATGTTCCATGTATAATATGTCCTTGACTTTGATATACATGTTACGGTGGCTGTTTTAAGTGAGTGAGTTAAGATTTAAGGTAACATGGGCAATATTTCAGCCATATCGTGACTAAAACTAGTTCTAAATTCATACATACATACATACATACATACATACATACATACATACATACATAAATACATAAATACATAAATACATACATACAATATATAAAACCCTGTCAACGAAGGTGGCTGTTTTAAAGCTATAAAGAAACATAGTAATGGCATCAGTAGTACATGTATTTTAATTGTCTATATACTCTTACAGGTAACTGCACCATGGACGAATATCCGCTGAAGTCTCTTGTCGATAGAAACAATTCACTGGTGGTGACGGCGGCAAATGCTACTACATGTCAAGCATGGTGCATGGCCCTCGTAGCATCGTTTAAGGAGTGCGTAGCGGCTGAGTTTGATGCACCATCCTGCACGGTATTCTTCAGCGACAGCGTGTACGTTACAGACCTACCTCAGATGACAGCATCTAGCACAGCCACTGTGTTCATTCGACGATGTTTTACGGGTAAGGTTTTGTAATGAAATATACTGAGAGAAAGAAATAAAGGATCACAGGAAAATTCAAGTGTTCCTTTATTATTTTCCAGTTTTCATCACTACTGCGCTATTCAAAGTGGGTGATGAAAACGGCAAAATATTAAAGGAACGCTTGGATTTTCCTGTGATCCTTTCTTTCTTTCTCTCAGTATATATAACAACAGTGCAAAAGAATACCCAGTCTTTACTATCCTCAACGCAAATTCCTTTGGCAAATAGTTGTGAAAATGATCCATGACACCAGGTGTTAGCGAAAAGGTTAAGCATGCCCTGGGACACCCGCCACATACAAAATTTGCCCCAAAATATAATTTTGCCTGACGCCGTTCAGCATACGTTTGGATAACTTTAGAAATATCAATATCGCTTTTCATTTTGTACGAGCAATGACACGGGTTCTGTTGAAGCTAATTATCTGTCACAATCATGGATGACTGTTATTCAAGAATAAATAGTCATGTCATAAAGTAGAATATATTTATAGGTGCAAAGACGTATATTTGCACGTTTTGCCTTTTCTGATATTCTTTTTTCAAGTTTTCTCACCTATTGGTGACAATACGTAAGTTATTGTATAATAAAAAGATAAGCTTATATTTAACATATATTTTGTGGCTTTTTTTCTCAATGCATAATGAAAACTTTCCAAAGACATGTAAGAATATGTGCATAAAAACATGTTTTATGTGGGTTTAGTCTTGGCATCTACCTTTTTTTCAATATGATTTATAACATTTCAAGTCATAACTCCAAACAACGTTGAACTGACGGGTTACAAGTTTACCATGTTTGACACGCCAATGACACACGCCCAAGCCATTGACGCATGTAGGAGCGAAGGCCTGGAATTGATAAAGCTTGATAACGAATCGTCCTCTGCCTTATCAGATGTATATGACAGGTATGTTAAAACAATAAACAATATGATTTTATCTTAATTTACAAATTATCCACTTACACAGCCGCCACCATGGTGTTGTGGTTAGAGCGGAAGGTCGCGAGTTCGATCCTCGGCCGCGTCATACCAAAAGACGTTAAAATATTGTTCTTGTTGGTCCCTGCCTTGCGCTCGGCATTAATGGATACAACAAGGACTGGTCGGATCGGAGTCAGTATAATGTGTCTGAGTGGGGTGTACATGCTTAACTGCGGCATGGTATCTTAGTGAGCTAGCACTATAAAACCAGCTGAAGTCTGGGCTAGTACAAGCAGCCACACATACACATACATTCATGTCGTCATATGAGCGAAATATTCTCAAGCACGACGTTAAACCCCATTTCACCTCACCTCACATATAACACATCAATAAGCAACCAATAACCAGCTTATAACGTTTTACCATTACTTTGTAATTTGATTCTATCAAAGATACAACCGTATTTTCTCTGGCACTGTTTGCTAGTCATGCTCTTCCTCGCCATGAAGCAATACAAACATTAGGACATTAACTATTTACACTTATAGTTATATATATGTTTACGTTCGCAATTTAATTTCAATGGAGAATATGTATGTATGATTTGTATATGACATTTATATACTGAGGGAACCACATAAAACACTACCTCATGGCAGTGTTCATTTATTTATTCTCAGATTTTCTCCCACAGCACTATTTAAAGCTGAAAGGTGGAAAATAATAAAGGAACACATTAAGTTTCCTGTGTTGCTTTATTTGTTTCTCTCAGTATATTTGTTCCACTTGTATATGGGCAGGATAGCTAGAATACACTAAACACTATCTTAATCTTGATATAATGAAAGCGCAAGACTGTAAGGCTGAAGCCATTTTAACACTGACCACGAAATGAATGTTCATGTTCATATTTCCCCTGTTCAAATGCTCTGTCATGACATCAAGGTAACTGACACAATAAACTTCACGGCAGATTAAATTAATGATTACGTAACTATGGTCAGGAACAAGTCACAAAATAAAACATTAATGTATCACTGCCAGTTCCTGTAAAATGCAATGTTTTTAGTTTTACGCCGCTTATAGCAATATTCCGGCAATATCACAGCGGGGACACCAGATATGGGCTTCACTCATTGTACACATGTAGGGAATCTAGCCCGGGTCTTCGGCGTGACGAGAGAAAGCCTTATTCACTAGGCTACCCCACCGCCCCGCCTTTTTATAAGTCTCGTGATCCTGGTAAGGTGACCTCCCTTTAGTTACTGGCGATCTATAGACCGTGTGTATTTTGCTCTGTTACATATGAAGATATATTTTTATGGTTGCATGCTAGTTTTAAACAACAACTGTGATAGTCTAATTGTTTTACAGTCCTTTGATGGTTGGAGTTTACATTAACAACATGTATTTGTTATGTACACAAACTTTACTTGGCACGATATGGCTGAAATACTACCTAGGTGACTAAATTGTAACTCACTCACATGGTCTTTACCATTCTACATCAAGGTCGAAGACTTCATGGCTTGGTCTGAGGCAACTGACCCGTCCACTGCGAGGGACCACCTGGACAGATGGAAGCCAGGTCTCTTGGACAAACTGGGGAGAACAGGTAGTTCCTGTACCTGGTCATTGTGTCGTTCTCAACAGCAGTGACCTGAGGTGGACAATGGACAACTGCGGCAGTAACAATTTTGCCTTGTGTGGAAATGGCAAAGGTACCTTTCGTATACATCTGGAACAAGTTGTACTCTCTTTTGCTGACAATAGTATATTCGTTAGAATGGCGATCAATCGTGTAAATTCATATTCACTTACACAATGTAAACCATATGACGCTTTTTAAATAAACTAAATAAATACTAAATTATACTAAACACAAAATAAATCATGCCAATGTTTACATGCACTTCAATTGACTGGGTTGAAATATGTCATCCTATCGCAACTACATATACAGATGCTCATGATGATGATCACTGGGTTGTTTGGCCCAAACTCGATTATTTACGGGACGCCGGCATATAGCTGGCATATTGCCGAATATAAACCGAATATTATTTGATTTCGCTGTACGTTATTGTAATTAATAGCATGACTTACAGAGAGACTTATTTAAGAGAGCCACAGGTTTGTTTTTGTGTACAGACGCACTCAGCAGTGTACATTATCGACTTTAGTACTGTAAGTCCCCATGGACCCTAGTATGGTGATCTACCGTCAGTTGTTGGCGATCTATAGCCTGTGTTTATTATGTATTGTCCCAATAGTGCTATTAGTTTTAATGTTACATGCCAGTTATAATTCTAACCGAGATTAGTCTAGTCTACTGTCCTTTGACGACAGGTTTTATAATATTCACATATTATTTATCAACGTCAATTTGTTTCTCGTCACGATATGGCTGAAACATTGCCGATGTGACGTTAATGTGTAACTAACTAACTCACTCACTCACAATGGATAGAATATATAAAATGTAATGCAATTCATCTTATTACCTATACGAGTCCGACTACATATACCTACATGTTCATTGATTTCAGGGGCATGTAGGTACGACTTCTATCCTGGTCAAAGGTTACCCAACACAGTGGTACAATTATCAAATATGCCAGAAAGCAAGTGTAAATCCAGCTGCAATGTCGTTCTCTTCAACAACACTGTCTGTCGAGGTGTTAGCACCGACGGTGATTTATGTCTACTAGACATGGGCGTGGAAATATATTCCTCTGATCCAGTTCTTGTGAACGCCGGATCATATAAGACATATCTTCGGTTCTGCCACGAAGGTAATTTTGTTTTTACTTTAGTCTCTGTTGTTAGTAACTCGTTGCACAGGTGGGGGCAAATATACTAGTGTCTTGTAAACATACCCGAGTGAATGAGTCAATTCATAAGTTAATAATGTCTGGTACAAATAAACGTTCATGGTGCAAAGCTACGGCTTTGGCGTTTGGGTGAGTATTGGTTTACGCCGCTTTTAGCAACATTCCAGCAATATCAAGGTGGGGGACACCAGAAATGGGCTTCACTCATTGTACTCATGTGGAGAATCGAACCCGGGTCTTCGGCTTGACGAGTGAACGCTTTAACGACTAGGCTACCCAACCGCCCCTTAAGGTTTACATTATATGTTCATTATACACATATGCATAATATTCACATTGAAAACATAAAGGTATCCATTTGTGATGTTTTACCATTATTTGTAAAAAGATCTAGAGGTGAACCCGTTTATTTCATAGTGGAAGAACTCTCCTACACCTCCCAAGGGACGCCGATGCCATCATCCTCACTGATAGAAGAAAACTCCTTGAATCTGGAACCTTCTTTAAGTTCAGAACAACTTGCCTACTCAGTGGAACCAAGTACCTCATTTGACCAAACAACCTTGTTAGAAGACATATTTTCAACCATCGTTGAAACTGATGGATTGGCATTGTCCACAGGAACATTCACAGAAACATTCACAGAAATATATTTAGACATTGCATCGAGTCACACGGAGGCAGACTCTGCTCAGGCCACCACCATAGTTGCTTCTGATACCGTGACGGTCCAAAATGGTTTAGAGTTTCAATCCAGTCAAAGTATGCTTTCAACACGTGAAGAGTTGTCTGGGGCTACAACTCTAATACAGATCACACCAACCCGCAACTGCTTTCAAGTGATGGAGTTGTCACATTTATGTCGACGGGAACTTACTTGGGGTATTTGAGTACTGTTGATCTTGGTAGTCCGGGAACGTCTTCTGTTATTGATGTGTCATCTGTATCTGCCAGTTCTACAACTAATTCTCTGGGATGGGGAAACAGTTCAGACAACTTTTGGATCAACGAGAATGGAAGAGTTGGTAAGCCAGTGACAATATTTTGGAAAGTGTAATGGCAGGGAAAATGTAGACCTTTTAAACACCAACAGACAAAGTAGCGTCAACAAACATATCATTTCTGCATAATATGCTGTTAACGGTATCTATACATTATTCATCTATATATAGCTCGGTCGCATGAATTCACTGATACGATTTTGCCCATTGCATTCGCTTCTGTCACCGTATGGTCTTACTGCCTTTGGTTGGAGTCATCCATTAATTAACGAACCTAGTGTATTCGATGACATCAATCACGGTTCAAATTAATCATTACTCTGTGAGATCATTGATAGTCTGCATTACATTGTTACACCATATGTTAAGGAATGACAACAGAGAGATCAGAGACGTTATGGTGGAAACTGGATGCTCTGAATACAATAAGGAAGATGGTTTTGTTATGGATGTCAACTTCTTTATTATGAGGAACACAACGTTTCGGAGTATATCCTTACACCTTCATCTTCACCACCTGATGAAGGAGTAAGGATATACTCCGAAACGTTGTGTTCCTCATAATATAGATGTTGACATCCATATAAAACACCCTTCCGTATGTGTGTCACTTCTAAATGCCATTCAAAGATCTGAATAACATGTTATTGTAAATGAAACACAGAACTTCAGTGAAGACAAAGAACTCCATCATCGTCCTTTATTCAATTCTAACATTCGTTGCAAATGCTAAAACCCTTCATATGCCCTCTTTATAAGAGCAAGAAGCAAAGAGACCCAAATCTACTCTTTCATCACTGAAGCAACAGGTTATAACTGTGTTCCCTCACTTGTTTATCAAGAGTCACTCAGTCTCTTAAACGTGCACATAACAAGTACATTTTCAGAGCAATCTTATGAAACACCTTGTTTTTGCAGTTCGCCAAGTGTGTGTGTGCCGATGCAGGGTGTCGTTACCAGAGACACCGTCATTGATGTCCGAAAAGGTGAAGGACCTTCGGAAGGATCTGATTGTGATGAAGAATAATGTGTCGTCCTACCGCCGTGCAAAGACCTCCGCCCAAAATAAGAAGGCAGCGGTAGTTGCAATGGGAAGCGTGTTAGGGATCAGCATTTTATCCATGACGTTTGTTACACTGCTCATCCTGGACTTAACTAACATCTGTAGAATGATTTCCAGGAAAATTCATACACAATCACGTGTTTCTCAGCGTTAACATAATTATATTTGTTTATAACAACAGTTCAGTTCCCTATGATTCTTAGCGTGGTATAAATAATGCGTACCATTTAAATAAATGGCGTGACCTTGACAGAATGATGTTTGACAAACGCAAAAATACCCATGTACACGAGAGGCACGACAACATGGCGTAACAGCTATGGATTCTTATATTTATGCCTGCAGTCGTCTAAACTTCTTATCGGCACAGAATTTCCCGTGCAGATCCGGGTTAAAAATCGATCTTCAGCAACCCATGCTGATTGTCAGAGGCGACTCACGGGACCGGGATCGGGTGGTCAGGCTCGCTGACTTGGTTAACACATGATATTGTTTCCCAATTACGTAGATGGATATTCATGATGTTTATCACTGGAATGTCTGGTCCAGACTCGACTATTTATAGACCACCCACATGCAACTTGAATATTACTGAGTGTGGCTTTAAATAACAAACAAAACACGCACAAAAACTGAGTGCAAACATGCATCGCGTAATATACTCGTACTTTGTGCTACAAAATGGATCAGTGATTGTTTTTATTACGCACTAGAACATTTCAAACTACGCTGCGAGAAAAGGTATTGTTGTCTGCTTGTGATGTGTAACGTGCCTGCCTCGCTTTCCATGAATAAATAATAATAATAGCCATCATAATACCGATGCGTGTCTTCTTCGGTTAATTAATTAGACTATTTATCGCTTATAGTGGTATAAATGAACAACTAAGCAATTAAAAATACCACTTTTCATTCGCGAACGAAAACTTATGACATATGGATGTCCTTGACTAAATATTCAAAGTCATGTCAGCAGTCTTACAGCGATATCGCGACTACAAGGGGATTTACATATGCATTCATCTGGATATAACAGACATATATATTGTAAAACTATATCCATAAAACTTGGATCCATAAACATATATCACTGACGAAAACAGGACATTATTAAAACAGGCTATAGGTCACCATTATACTAGGAATCATTGGGACTTACGGTACCTCGGCTGCCTGCATGGTACATCAGCTGGATTTACACGATCCGTTACCACCCTTGGATCCACCAGTTAATATACCTTTGTCGGTGTTCAACACCACATGAATGAGGCGGAAAGGTCAATTGTTGATTGAGTAATACTCAGGATCACCCCTTCCCTCAGAACTGTGTCATGCTGTTGATCACTGGATTGTCTGGTCTAGACAAGATTATTTACAGACCGCCGCCTCATAGCTGGAATATTGCTGAGTGTGGCGTTAAACAACAAGCAAACCAAATTACAACTGTGATTTATCATATTTGAACATAACTACAGTTGCATTGCTAGTACCCCTCTTGTAAATTGTGGACGATTTTGGTATAGCCCGTGTTTTAAGTTGTAAGTAATCGTGTAATGTAAAATTGTGTAAAACTATAACTTACGTAATTCATGCTGTATGTTCACAATATGGAAATGACACGATTACCCATCATGTCAAGATGAAGCTGAGGATAGCTCATGAAGCAAACCTAATTAAATAAACTATTAAGCTATCGTAAGTGTTTACATAGAATACAGTCTTTACTTTTCTTTAACTGTAAGTTACTTAAAGGCACTATGTTACACCATACTTATCTAAAAACAAATAATACAGTTCTTTCAATAATACTAATTATCACTATCAGCCCTCTAGGAAACTGCCTTATAGTTTATTCAAAAATATATTACGTATTTAGATTGCAATATCAAATTCAAAAGTTCGAATGAATCAATGCTACTTTGCATTAAATCGACTCTCGCGCCCTCTACCGGCCAAACATTATTTCAAGCGAACCCCATAGAGTTATGTCCCTTGGAGCGCTCTTTAGGAACATCCTACGCAAACCGTGTGATTGAAACCAGTTCGGCAAACACCGTCAACACCGCGTGCGACAGTTTTCGATGTACGGAGCAACTGTTTACATCCCATATGGGGCAACTATTATCTGTTTGGAAGCTGTTCGTCTCGAAGTTTCAATTATCGATTTCAGGCTAGTTCTTTTATTGCATCAACAGGAAGCTAAAGTGAGTGCATATGCCCCATGATATATAATATAGACTAATATAGGTCCAAATATTGTCCAAAATGTGTGACATTGAGCCTTTAATGACCATTGTATAGGCATCTAGACTGTAATTAGCAAAATTACCATCGTGACTTCGTCACGTGACACCAGCTCTTAAAACTCACCAGACATTCAGACAGCAGCTGTAAAACCAAACTTTATTTACTCCGATGTAATTAAGGCTGCTGTGGTCATGTCACGGTCATAAGACAACTTTTTTTCGGCTTTTTAAATCAATATCCATAAGTAAATTACCATACATATTTCAACCAAACAATACAATGTATGTTTTGGTAAATCAAGAGGATCCCAACGTTGATCGGTGGTGTTTTCAGTAAGCTTTAGATCATAAACACAAAGGTCCATGCATTCGGTCAACACACAGGACCTCGCAATACAATGTGAAACATTGACGGAATTTACCATATTACTTTCACGAACTCTATTATGGGTGAGTGAGTTAAAATGTAGTCATATCGGCAGTATTTCAACCATATCGTGACTAAGAAGGTTGTAAATTTATAAATGAATAAAAACAAATTTAGATAATATACTTACCTGTCTGCAAAGGACAGTAAAAGAAGATTATCACAGATATACATTCAAAATTATATCAAAAATATTTTAACTATAAATGACAATATGACATAAAAAACAGGCTATAGATTGCCAAAAACTGAAGGAAGATCACCATACTAGGGACCATGGTTGGACATTGTCAGTTTTACTTTGATTGCAATTATGAATGAGCACATCAAATATCTTGAAATCATTTCTATGCTCTCATAAAACTAGTACATATAACTGCTTAAGTTATATATATCACCCATATTTGATTTAGATGACGAACTTTGAGATATAATTGAGCTGGGATTGAACAATATTTATCTGAATGGTTCCTTATTGATTATTAACCGATGTTCCATTGAAAGAAGACATATTATATTATAATTGTTATTTATGTATACAAGGTCTACCATTTGAACCGCCAATTTTCCCATCGAAATGTAAAGTGTATATTATTTGTTTGTTATTTATTGGACCTCACAACAAATACTGAAACATCTATTTGATGGTCAGAACAATGTCAGCCTGTTCGTTGGCCGTCTCCAGAAGAAGTCTGAGAGGGTTCAAGACTACAGGAGTCGATTCCAGTTAATCGTTCCTATTAAGGTCAACATTGCTCTGATGGGACCCCAACCAAGCATACAGCGAAAAGTGGGCAGTTGTGAACCCAAGATTCCAATGGATATTCAAAGATTTTGACAACTCGACGAAGACTTCAATCTTCCAGCACCTGATTTCCGTATGTCTTGGTACTATTTAGCGAAGGGCACAACTAGTACCGCGAGTGCTGAGCGCTGTGCGAACCCATCAAGCCAGGGATGGGTGAATATCTTTGAAGGGGTTGGATTCACATGACTTTCAGCAAATAAAAGGGGCTTTGGGAAAATGTCATCTTTAGATGAAACGTTACCATCCGTCATGCAATAGAAGCAATAAATAGGACCATGCCTCCTCGTCACTTCTACTTTGTTGTTGCGGGGGATATAGAAACGAGTTCCGTCCGTCCGTCCGTGCGTCCATCACACTTTGTCCGAAGCATATATCCTAAACTATTCGTGATGGCTTAACCATACTTGGTACACATGTCAACCATCCCTAGATGTGCCTTTTGGGGGTTAGACCCAGACATGAATTGTATTTTTTGCTGTTTCCATGGAAACACGACTTAGGCTGTGACTATGAGTATGTCATCTTGTCCGGAGCAGATCTTCCAAACTATACACACTAGCTTCATCAAACGTGGTACACATATCAAGCATGATCCCTAGATGTAGGGATCATGTGGGGGTTAGACCCAGACATGAATTGTATTTTTTGCTGTTTCCATAGAAACGTGACTTAGGCTGTAGCTATGAGGATGTCATCTTGTCCGGTAGTAGATCTCATAAACTATACGTGCTAGATTCATCAAACTTGGTACACATATCAAGCATGATCCTTAAATGTGCCTTTTGGGGGTTAGACCCAGATAAGAATGTCATGTTTTGCTATTTTCATGGAAACGTGACTTAGGCTGTGGCTATGAGGATGTCATCTTGTCCGGAGCAGATCTCCTAAATTATACATGCTGGCTTCATCAAACTTGATACACATATCAAGCATGATCCCTAGATGTGCCATTTCCATGGAAACATGACTTAGGCTGTGACTATGAGGATGTCATCTTGTTGCATTTCCACGGCAACAAGTTAGGCTTCAACTGAATTTGGTAGTAGTGCTCCTTTCTGGAGCAGATCTTAAAAACCTTTCCATACTCTCCTTCCACTTTGCTGTATACACTCCAAAACATTTGACATAATCATAACTAGTAGACATATTCATAAAGAGTATTTTGCCGTTGCGGGGGATATTGATGACTTTGTCTTCTTGTTTAATTCGCCAGAAGTGATGGGCGAGCGGAAGTATTTGACGGTTTGTTTGGTGTTTGTGTTGTTGCTGTTGTTGTTTTTGGGTTTTTCAGGTTATGTTGTTGGTTGGAGGCGCAACGTTAGCGTGCATGTTATACCGTCTTAATGATCACTGTGCCCGGCAGTGGCATTATATACGACCATGTGTCCTCCGTCCGTCACTAATACTTCATTTCCAGACATGGTTAGACATGAGAAAGACCTTTGATATGAAATGTAATATACTAGAGATGAGAGTACTGTTCTCTAATAGAAGCAAGTCTCTAATAAACGGAGGTCTGGTCATCGTGATGCTCTTGAAATCAGCACCACCCCTCAAAAATCATCTTATGTCCTTCTTGCTAAATTTCTTTCTTTACTCAGGTGCCTCCAACGTTGCCTTTTAAAGGTGTTCCCTAACTTGTTTTGAGGACTATACATCAAAATGGTTGTGGAGATTTCAAGCCATTACATACATAAATGTAGACAGGAATTTCACTTCTTTTATGTTGTTATGAGTGAGTGAGTTATAATTTAAAGTCACACCGGCAGTATTTCAGCCATATCGTTACTATGAAAATTCCATGTAAAAGTAAACTTAATATCTGTCAACGGAGGACAGTAAAATAGCTATACTAACACAGATGAACTTTTAAAACTAGCTTGTAACCGTGAAAAAGATACTTCAGAGAACGATAAAAAAAATGGGCAATAGATCACCATTCACTGGCGGGAGATCACCAAGCTAGTGTCCATGGGGATTTACAGTTCCTTTGCTACCTGCATGGACCCAAGCCGGATTTACACCTCCCCCACAGTCAGTGGCGATAATTGGTACGTTTAGCCAAAAATTAAACTCACATACATACTGCGTTTTAAAACATGCATAAAATTGCGAGAAATAAAACTAGCATCTCTCTCTAAAATTGGAATTCAAATTAGCACAATACAGTATAACAAAAAAGTCGCCAACAACTGAAGGTAGATCACCATACTAGGGACCATGGGGACTTACAGTGCAATCAGTTGTAAGACTTGTTAAATAGCAATATTGCGCAAATATAATAATCCCATCTCTTATCTGTTATACACTGTACGATTTCCCAGCACCCTCGATTACAAGTCTTCCTTCTGAAGGTCATGTGCGTTGACTTGCTCATGGTTCTTTACAAAGTTGTCTGAGATGTCTGAAACTTCGAATATTGTATGTACATTGTCCTTCAAACGTTCCAAAGACAAAGCAGTTATTCATTTCTTAAAACTATAACTTATAGTTAAAATAAAGATTCTAAAATCAAAGGGACTTTGCCACCTTTGGATGTTTATAGTTTCCGTTACTTTAAACCAGGTCCTACTTGCATTCAACAACTTTTTCATTTAAGTGTTCCGTTGTAGTTTTTTTTAATGTTTTGAGTGTGTTTTTGCTTATTGAACTTACATGTGTTATGTCAACTTTATTTTAGTTGTATGTGCATGGAACATATTATGTAAGAATAAAAATGAAACTAGCCTGTTGGTTTCCTAATTTATAAACTTTCCTGCTTTGACATACTACTTTTAGGCGACCCCATAATTTTCCGTTTAATTTTCTGTAAACCATAACTGATAGATGCAACTGTAACAAGAGCGACCTGAAACTTTTCAGCTTTTAACCCACGCTGATCGATTGTCTCCTTGTGACACATACGTATAATTGTAACGATCTGTGCCCAAACAGACTTGTGGTTGCCATAACAGTTTTACATAGATCGTTCTCCTTAACAACGGTAATGGCTTGTAATATATGAGGTTCATGACAACTACTTATGTTCTCGATATTTTGATGGGCTTGGCATTGTCGCCTAATGGACCCAATCAGACTTCGGTCACCTGTATGCAGTCGGCCGATGGCGTTGTTGAGTTTCTGTCCTTCATGGCATTATTTCAGTTTTTGCTTCTTTCAATCTGCACAGATCCCGACACACGTAGACATGAAACAAGTATTGATCTATGTGACATGTTTGTCATCATAAATCATTACTACAATTGCTTTCCCTTCAGACTATAATATAAACAAACGACCCGTGTACGTAGCTGGGTTCCCATTTTACAAACACAGTGTAAGCTGGTGGGAGACGGGATACGGGAACTGGCGACTGTGTCCAAGCTCTAAGGTAAAATTAACAAGGGCTCATCATTATGTTTTATCGGTAATATTAATCACTTGGAAAGACTTCTTTTCGAACATGGATTTTGCTCTGTTTCTGGTTGTTTTGCCCTGCGCACGTAGCAATATGAACGCAGAAGTTTTAATCTACATAATCGGGCTGTGGTGAGGTGTTGGTCGTACCATAATTAACTTTAAAACAAATAGAAAGTCTTCTCCATTTCTCCAAGAATCATGGTTGTTAAGTGAGTACTGTGAGAACGCTTTCTACATTATAGTCTGCCTGTCTCGGTACTTAATCCATGTCGAGTATTTGCCCACGTAAGGGAACGTTAACTGTTGGAAAACTGAGGTCATCATTCTTGTCATATATTCCACTCAATAGATTCATGTAATTTTGAAACTCGATGCTAAATATGGTCTCGTATTGGGGTTCGCTATTTGGCGAACATTTGGCGAACATGCGTTGAGTGTACTCTCATCAGACAACGTTTTTATGATGATATTCAAACTCTATCTGAAATTTTTACAACAGTTTCTTGCCACTAGATTTTAGCCTATTTAAGAGAAATCAACATTTATGACAAAATAGGAAATTGTAGCTTAGTACGGTTCTGCACTTTATTGTGACATTTGACTGAGATGTTAGGGCATTTCAACATCACTGTTATTTTTATGATGAATATAAAGTAATGCAAAAGAGTTTTTCGCCGAGAAAATCTAGGAAATTTCTGATGCAGCGTTAAGCAACTTTGACTCACTTACTCGATATTTTGTCATTGTTGAACAGTGCCAGATCACCCATATACAAAGAACGTCTTGGCTAATTTCCTTTGTTTGATTCTGCCACTGATATAAGTAAAATATATTTTAATGCAATTAAAAATATTTGATTAAATGTTACAATTCAGTCTCAAGGCTCAACTGTTTATACGAGAAAGGTTATACTTATGGTTTCTTGCGTCCTGAAGACACAATCATGTGACAGGCTCATTGTCTGTCACTCAACTGATTAATTGTTGTAAAATGTGACTACTGTACTTTGGCCTTAAGCATTTTACACCTACACGTGTACGCTAAAAAACTGCTCTATTCAACAGCAACAATGGTTTGTCAATTATCTCAGTATTTATATTGATTACGTCTTGAGGCTTCCCCTCAGACTTCTTTCTCTTTATGTTTGGATGCAACTGAGATCATTTGTGTCAATGAGTCCAACGAAAGGGTTTTACTATCTGTATACACTAAAACTAAGGATCTTCATTTTAACTGAAAACTTTTGTCTCAACATAGAACGGAAAAGCTGAATTCAGCACTCACTGTAGATGTTTCGATACTACGAACTTTGTGTCTGTTTCTTCAATCTTTGTATCGCCTCTCTGCATAGTCGCATACATAGACTTCACAACATATCGGGAAAGCATTGATCGATCGACACTTAACAATTAAAAATGACTTTTTCCATTCACGGATGACACGTATGACATACGTTTGTTCAGGACAGTAACTATCGGGACTTCAAGAGGATTTTCATAATGAATTCACGTAGATATATACCTGCGCAGATCACTCCCGATACATGCAGACATGACAAATTCACGTAGATAGATACCTGCGCAGATCACTCCCGATACATGCAGACATGACAAATTCACGTAGATATATACCTGCGCAAATTCAGTCTCTGTTTCTTCAGTCTTTGAATCGCCTCTCTGCATAGTCGCATGCATAGACTTCACAACATATCCAGAAAGCATTGATCGATGCGACAAGATCAACGTCAGTATTCAGCACGAAAAAAAAGTACACGATCGAAGAGCGTAATGATGTTAGCTGGATGGATTAGAGACGAGAACAGGAGCAGGGGCTAAGGTAAAATTCATAATGGTTCATCCACTTTGGATTATGGTTGATACTAATCACATATATAGTCTTCTATAGGAAGATGTCACGATGTATTATTTATAACTTCTTTGAGAGGCAATTTTTATAGTTTAACGTCGTACTCGACATTATTTCAGTCGTATGTTGTCAGTCTTCAAATAATTCAGTGTTGACAAGAAAATCCATCACCAACACAAATAATCGCAATTTGGGATACAATGACATTCTAATTTAGTTAGTTTTTGTGTAGAAGGGAGTAGCACAACACATTGTGTAAGATTGTGTATTGTGTATGATGTATGTGGAAAGCTAGTCGATGTTGTATAAAGTCTTCCTGAAAACCACATTTTAAATTTCGCCATTTGAGCAATTAATTTTATACGTAGTAATTAGGGTAAATTGTAAAAGCAGAAGTGAATAGATTATCAAGATTCTAGTAATTAGTACAATACAATATAAAAACAGGCTATATTTTGCCAACAACTGAAGATCACCATTTTGATAAATATGATTCTGGTTAGAAATATCTTAAAATTGTACATATTCTACGATTAAAAAGTGGAAAGTTTACCTTAAATCTTTGGTAACGATAGATATAATAGGCTTGTTTCTGTGATTGTCGTATTTTTGGAAATAGTGGAATGCCATATCTTAATATTCTGGTTAAACATTTCAGACTTTTGGAAATAGTGGAATGCCATATCTTAATACACATTTCAGAGACAGACAGACAGACAGACAGACAGTTTTATTTCAATATACAAGGCCATGGCCCACGTTACAGAATAATTTTGCATTTTGTTTGATGCTGGTAAAACCAGTACTAGTCATACATTATTGCCTCTGAAAGCTATGGGACCATTTTTGCACAATGTAAGGGCATAATATACCCTTCAATAGTATGCATACGGAATTGTTTAATGTACCAGCTGTTTGGAACAACAAGGTGTTCAAGTATTATCAAGAATTTACACAATGTTTCAACGTATGTGCATGATAAAATGTAAAATGTGAATCTCCAAATTTCTATGTAAATCATACTCACTTGGTGTTGACATACCAACATATAAAATACGTTACAACCGAAACAATAAACTTCTTCAATTGTAGAGAACTCTTTACATCCCTTTAACTTAAACCCATATATAACCAAATTAAGAGTGAGTGAGTTAGCGACCCATATTTCAGCCATATCGTGACGAGAACACATTTGGGAGCCTTTAGGGAATACATAGATTCTATAAAAACATGTAGTCAATAGACAGTAAAACAACCCCGAACATCGCAGATAGCATGTCACGTTGGACAGCACTATTCAGGACAATAGAATATAAAAACGGACAAGAGACCATGGGGACTTTCAGTACTGTTAACTGCATGGACCCTAGCCGGTTTTACACCATCCTTGAAGCCGCTGGGAATTGCAGATAGGTTAGCCATCATTGAAAATGACAATTACACTACGATTAAAAAGCCTGATAGATCAAAATGTTGATCAATACTTTGAATGTTTTGAGATTTACGTTCCCTTTTAGGGGGACAATATCTTTACACTACGTTAACTCCCTTTGAGGATACAGAAAGTAACAATAACGATTGTTCATTGAATTTAATGATAAACATCATTTAGCTATTTACAGAACATATTAATCAATATTTTCCAATCAATTCTATTTTTTTTTAAAATCCGAAATGATATATTCAAACGTCCTTCATGGATAATACACCCAGGCATGACACTCGTGACTGCATTAACTACAGTTCGCGATCAGAACCAGTTATCCTTTGTAATCAAAAACATCGATGAAGTTCGTGATTCTATCATCACAAAGGATACAGAAGGAGGATCTTCACCTTTCCATAGAAGATCTTTGGTTATAAAGATACTCATAAAGGAGATTAAAACACGTCTATATGAAGAGTTGGACTCATTGCAACATACTGCAAAGAGAGTTTAATGCGGCGTTGGTTAAGAGGGGGCTCATCTGCTTCAATGTACAGACAGTACATAGGAGAAGTTCGGAAAGTTTCTAGACATAGTTTTAGATCTTGGGAGGGTACAGAATCAAGTAGTTTAAACGGGCTTTGTAGGTCTCTCCATGGACGAAGGAGACGTTATCAAAAAGGGTACTTCAGTCCTCTTAATCCTAGGCCTATTATGACAGATTTGCCTCTTGTGCATTTGTTTACCACGACAAGAAATAACGACATCCAGTGAGTATCGTATGCTTTCGCTAGATCAATGACAATTGATTTGTTAGTTAGTATTTTTGACAAAGGATTCCAGTACATAGTCAATAGGACTTCGATTTTTCCAGAAACCACATTAAATATTGGTAATAGGGTAATTGTTTTCCAGGTACCAAAATAATCTATTATTTGCCATTCGTTCAATGGTTTTACAGACATAGCTAGTCAAAAACATACCTCTGTAATTCGATCTATCTGTAAAATCCCGGCCAGGCTTTGGTATAGGGACTACAATGGCATTTTGCCTTGAAGGTGGAAAATTCCTTGAAGTCCATATTTGTATCATGATCCACACCTTTGACACTGGTGTACGAGAATTTATTTTGGAAACATAAGTCCTCCAAGACTGTTTTCTTTAAATGCGCGTCGAGTCTTGGCATTTCAAACTGATTATTATGGACTGCGATGTCAGCGATAATATTTTTCTGCTTTTGTCCTACAAATTGTATCCTGTTTACATTAATGATTATATCATGGGTTTCCAATACATGAGTGAGTAGTTTTGCGCCGCTTTTAGCCATATTCCAGTAATATCACGGCGGGGGACACCAGAAATGGCCTACACACATTGTACCCATGTGGGGAATCGAACCCGGGCGTGACGAGCGAACGCTTTAACCACTAGGCTACCCCACCGCCCCTTCGAATACATGAAGTTACAGAGGACTTTGATGTTGTTTTGTCAGCAGTGTTACATATGTATATCCGAAAACGACTGTCAGTGTCCTTAAAATGGTCATGTTTTAAGTGTTTAGCACTAAGAGGATCATCGCAAAGATTGATAGTTTTGAGAATTGTAGGTAAGTGATCACTCCCACATAAGTCCCCACAGACCATCCATTCAAATTCATCATACGAGTTTGAATCGGTGAGTGGTAGATCGAGGCCGAATATGTTCCAATGGCTGGATATAAATAACTGGTTGAATCATCATTAGATATACATGTGTTATTCAATTAAATATATTTCTTAAGGAGTTTACCATTCGCATTCGTATCGGCACTTCTTGAAAGTGCCGTTGAGATGCCATACTATGCCAGGCCACAGTCAAGTACATGGCAAACACACGCACGCACACACACGCACGCAAAAAACAAGCACAACCATGCATCGCGAAATGTATTGTCGACCATTGAGCGTGTTTGTGTTATGACGTTTGCAAAAAAAGGTATTATTGTCTGCTTGTGAGATAGCGTAACGTGCATGCCTTACTTCCCATGAATATATAAGAAGCATAACAATGATGCGTGTTATTTTTGTTTGTTAGCAAGCGATTAAATTATTTATAATGTTGAACACTATAAACAAACAACTAAACAATTAAAAATGACTTTTCCATTCACGGATGACACGTATGACATACGTTTGTTCAGGACAGTAACTATTGGGACTTCAAGAGGATTTTCATAATGAATTCACGTAGATATATACCTGCGCAGATCACTCCCGATACATGCAGACATGACAAATTTTTTGTTTGTCATATTTTGTACAAATATCAGCTAAAATCCAGATATTTAAGTCAACATCACCCAACTTTCATCCTTTCAGCATGTCCCGATACAATGTATTCTCAGAGAGCATTGATCCATGTGGCAAATTTGTCTTGATAATAAATACTCTGTTGGTTTGATAAACAAGCGAGCCAGGGACGTAGTTTAGTTTCCATTTCACATACGCAGTGTAGTGTGGTGGGAGACGGGATATGGGAACTGGTGACTGTGACCAAGCTCTAAGGTAAAATCAATAAGGAAAAAGGCAACAATCATCGTTGTCTTTTGACGGTACTACTAATCACTTGGAAAGACATCTATTTGAATATAGGGTTTTCTCCGTTTCTGCTTGTTTTGCCATGCCGCACATAACAATATTTGAGCTGTATGAACAGTCGTAATCTACTTAATCGGGAAGGTGAGGGATGAGGTATTGGTCGTACCTTAATTAACTTTGTCATATCGCCTTTTCAAAACTAAACTGTATTCTCCATTTCTCCAAGAATCATGGTGTTAACTGAGTATGATGAGACAGCTGTCTACATTATAGTCTGCCTGCCTCGGTACATATGCCATGTCGAGTATTGGCCCACATAAGGGAACGTTAACTGTTGTGCAACTGAGGTCATCCTTCATGTCTTCATATTCCACTAAACAGATTTTTGTCATTTTGAAACTTGATGCCAAACATGGCCTCGTATTGGATTTAGCTATTTGGAGAATATTTTGCTTAAATGGGTTGATTGTGCTCTCATCAGACAACATTGATATGATGATATTCAAACTATATCTGAACTTTTTACAACAGTTTCTCACCACTAGATTTTAGCCTATTTACGAGAAATCAACAGTTATGAAAAAATTGGAAATTTTTGTATCTTACTCAAATTTGCACTTCATGTTATATTTGACTGAGGTGTTAGGGCCTTTCAACATCACCGTTATTATTATGATAAATATAATGTAATGCAAAAGAGATTATTGTTTGTCACTCGACTGATTGTCTGTTGTAAAATGTGGCTATTGTACTTTGGCCGTAAGCATTTTACACCTACACGTGCCACTAAATAGACTGCTCTATTCAACAACACCAATGGTTTGTCTATTATCTCAGTATTTATATTGTTATGTCTTGAGGCTTCCCCTTCAGACTACTTTCTCTTTATGTTTGGATGCAACTGAGATCATTTGTGTCAATGGGTCCAACGAAAGGGTTTTACTATCAGTATACACTAAAACTAAGGA